GGAACAAGTCAGATAGAGAGCCCGACCAAACAATAGATGAGATAGCCACTAACAAATCTATTTTAGTTTGTACTCTTGGGATCCTTGAAGCTACTCTAGACTGTACTCTTGACTCCCTTGGGCCACTCGACTTTGATCTGATCGATCGTGGATTGAGCACCGCTAACATTCCAAATGCCACGCTCATTCCTAAGCATTGTACTGATCATGACCAAAACGTACTGGACTCCACGGCTGTTGGAACTGGAGAGGCTAAGCCAACATTCAATCAAGTAGACAGTCATAATTGTAATAGAGCCTTACTCTTTACTACTATGAACGGACATTCTGCTTTAGAGTGTGCAATCGATTTCTGCCAATCCTTTGCCTATGCAAATCCAATAGATGGACCCCATGAAGTCCATCGTCCACCAACTTCTGAACTAGCTAGAGTTGAACGTAGCATGGAAGAAAGATCATATCAACCTGGATCGCACCAGTGCAACTCAAGTCGCACTGCCAGAGCTTGAGATCTATCAGTCTCACAAGCAACCCTTAACTCAAGAGGCGCGCTTTGAACTGGTGCTGTATCAATCTCACAAGCAATCCTCAACCCAACAGGCACGCTTTGATGATGATACTCGAAAGCCTGACAGGAGAAATGGTCCACCACCTTGCAACAGTTTTGAGCATGGATTATAACCCAAACTGAGGTTGAACTGAAGAACCCAAGCTCGGCTGTGAAGTCTTGTGAACGCGATTGGGAGCGCCTTCGCAGCTACTTTGCATGGTTGCCCAAGCTAGTCATCCAGAAGAACTCGGAACACTACTTGGAAGACTCAACTCAACTAGCTACAATAACTACTATAGATATTACAGTACTGGCGGCATCCAACTTTGTCTCTAGAAGTCTAGTCACCAAATCTGAGCCCGGCAATGCCGCAACTTCCTACTTGCTGGAAAGCACAGATGCAGCACACGCCATGGCACTGAATCGCCAAGCTACAATGATAGTATCATTGAGCGGTCTCCAGGCCTATACCACCAATGTGCTTGTAGCGGAGCTAACCAAAGTCTTCACTTTGATGGCACAACTACAATAAGCTCAAGCGACGATACAATCACACATGGGCTCACTACAACTACAATCAATGGTATAGATCTTTGTCACTGTACATTGGCAGTGAGCGACTTCCTCCATTGGACATACATTGATGACTGGACAACTTTGTCAATTGGACGGAAGCAATTTGAACGAAGACTACTAGCTAAGACTGAAATGGTAAAAATTATCCACTTAGCAACTTGTCTATGTACCAACGCTTTCTACATGAAGCAATCAACCACTTCAACTGAAGACCAAATGGATTCTGACCATATTGTTGCTCAGATTCATGGGGAGCAGACAACTGGTCTGCAACCACTGCTCAAAGGCAATGAGCCACTCCTTGATGGCTTGCCTCGACATATAACTAAACAGTATAAGACGACATTGTACCACCTACACATACGGCATGCCTTGTTGCCATTAAGTCATGTAAACGAAGTTTTTCACCTGAAAAGGTTTTCTTCGACTCATATTGATGGAACCAAGACTACTGAGACTGTTACCAACAGCCCATCAAGACCTAATACAAAACCGCACAAGCGACATATTGTACTGTCGTTCCACCGTGTTAGAGAGGTTATTGCATCCAATACACTCTCCTTTCTACACATCGAAGGTGCTAAACACCCGGCCGATATCCTTAGCAAAAGATATCAATAAATATGGCCACAGCTACGTACAATACTTTCCTGAGTAGATGACACAGCTGAGGAGGATTAGGTCCTCACTCACTCACCCATTTGGGGAGTGACAGAATTGTATCAAGAACGGGTTTTGTGACTCGGACCAATACGATTCAATCGTTAGCAGTCTTATGGGTCTTATAGTAATTAGTAGTAAAATAGATATGATGACGTGTCGTCGGATGAGAACAGTTGGAACTTTGCGCCTCAAGCGCATCAACTGTTCGTCAATTCCCGATCAACTCATCGCGTCATGTTTTGTTTACCTTGAATTGATATCTTTATCTTCTAGTGTAATCTCGAGCGTTCACCAAGAATAATAATATTCTGTCATGTCTCATAATACTGCAACGATTATATTTATAAGCATGTACCAGGTATTAATGCTGGTCCCTACCAGGATATGCCGTTATTGATGGCTCAACATGACGGATAGATGTAGACAGAATGCGCACCAGCGGCACCGTAGGCGCCGTGGAAATTCACGGACCCCAAGACATTCCTGGATATATACCGTATAAGGGTTAATAACAAGATATTATTAATACGCAGCTTTATTCAAATAAGTCCTATTATACTCCTTTTTGTTTTTTACAGAAATAGAGAGAGGCTACCGGTACTTCACTTTGCTCCAACTATCTCGAATTTCGGTGCTGCTTATATCCGAGCGAAAATTTTCTTCACTTATTGTGGTGAACATGTCGTTGACTGCCGCCGGAAGCTGGCTAATTTCTTCACTTCCAGAAACAAATCGATGACTCAAGGCTCGTCCACCGACTAAAAATCGAGTGCCTCCCATTTCTTGTAGTGCCGATACCATCTTACTTTCATCGTTGCCGTAATATTTCCGATCAATCAACCTAACCAGGGTATCTGCGCCAATTACAAAGGACATTTTCGGACAAGAGTTGTCAAAGGTCGCGATGCACTTTTGAATTTCTGAAACCTTGTCCGAAAAAAGTGGTGCCATCGTCAGAATAATTCCCCAGTGACTCGGTGGAGATTCTAGCTCCAGAAAGTACTGAATCCGCTCCACAACAGACCGAGGATCGATTGCAGGCTTGTCCGCGTTCAAAAGACTTAGCTCGAAATACGTTGCTCTCTTCTCGCTTCGACTGCACGGTCTTCTGTCCTGCTCTGCCTGCAGCGCAGCTTCGGCCAGCGCAATGTGCCCTTTGTGAGGAGGGTTAAAGCTTCCCGGAAAAATCAAAGAGCCGTTGGGTATAACTGGTGCAGCCAAGGCTTGAAAGGATACTGGATGACCACTCTTGTATAGAGGAATGAGGACAGCAATCGCTTGGGCTCCATCCACAACTCTTTTCACTGTAGTCTCGGTATCTATTCCTTCGACGCATGTGTATTCGGTCTCTATTCTAATCGCCTTTTCTTCTCTTTCTTCGTGCAAATCGTCCACAGTATTGCTTCCAGAGCTGACAAAATCGATAGCCCGCAAAACCCAATTCGAGACGCATATATCCTGTTCTTCACGTGTCCTTCCTGAACCATCTAACAGAATGCTTAAACAAACCTCCCTTCCGTCTGCTCTCGTAGCTACAATGAATGCCGTTGATTTCTCTCCAGAGTCCGAAAACGAAGTCAAGGTGGAGGTACAGCCAACACCGACACAGTGCGGCATACGCCGGCAATCAGAAGTTTGGTGTAGCGATTTTAATAGTGCGGCTTTGGATGCCAAGCGAGAAGCCTCCATGGAAGTGTAAAAAAAACCAGTGGTATCAGAAGGGAGCCCAACGTAAGAGAGATACGATTTCCGTGAGTACGTGATGCAGCCTTCCAAAAGCAGTTGGGAAGCTCCAGAAGTTGATGACAATGCAGACAAGGCTTTCCCTCCACCTCCTGCTACAGCGATACAACAGCTGTTTCTCTCGGATTCGTCCAGCGCTAGATTTCGCTTCATCAGCTCCTTTGCTTTGGCGTCCAGTGTCTCGGCCGAGAAAACACTGGAACTCATTGAGGCTATAACGACTGTTTGCGATGTAGATTGTTGGATACTCCTCCGGAGGAACGTGTTGAACATACAATTGCACCTTTCAATTGGCAAGCAATCTACACTACCGAGTAGAGCGAAGGCAAAAAAGCAACGTAGAAGCTCAAGTGGACTATTGTGGGTGCACGAAGCTGTAAACATTCGACCTTCATCAATATTGTCCTCGGGAACACTTGCAGAAAACGTTTTGGGGGACAATTCTTTCGGGAGCATTACGAGTTCCCCTTTACTGCTGTTTTCGGTCGTTCGCGCCGTTAAATCGTTAATTGGAACAGAGAGTGTCCGTCATTCGTACGTTTAGATAGTTTAAGCTAGAGATTGATTCGCACACATCTTGTAAAATCCCCATGTTTGTCATCGTACTCGTTTTCGTCCCGAATCTCTCGTACCTCGCTACTCAATTTAACGGTTTATTAGACCCAAGCAATCCACAATGGATAGAGGAGCCTGGGAAGGCTTTCGAATAATATCTGTTTGAGGAAATCGCCTCATTCAGCCATGGTTAGGATCACCATCGTCGTATCGATCTCGTGATTTTTTTTCATGCCACAATTTCGGCGTTCGGATGCGCACCGAAGGCTAATCACGTCGCAGCGTTAACTAAATTGTTCGCTAGCGAAGGCTAAACGGCAGACGTGCCATGCGTGCAACCATCCGTGCCACGTTTATATACAGCTAATATGAGATGCTTCGACGTTTAGGGCTAAATTATTTGAAGTTGCCAGATATCACCAACTGACGTATCCCACAGAAGATGCGTACATTACCTTAGTAAAAGGATTGTTACCACGACCTTAACGCGGTATTTAATGTTGTATTGTTAGTCGTGTGTGCTGTTACACGGCATTCTACCCCTATGAAGGAGAGCTGCGAAGCAATGATGCTTCATGAAAGTTTACAGTTCGCTGGCCAGGCGAGAGGTTGTGAGATCCATCGAATCGGAAAGGGGGGATTTTGACCTAATTGACTATATACAGCGTGGACCTGTTGTGTGACGAATACTGAGTCGTGCTGCACCTGTTGTCCAGCGGCTGTCTGGAGTCGATGTTGCGACCGCCACAACTTTCTTTTTCTCTGGAAGAGTCTCTGATCAGAATGACGTATCCCACAGAAGATGCGTACATTACCTTAGTAAAAGGATTGTTACCACGACCTTAACGCAGTATTTAATGTTGTATTGTTAGTCGTGTGTGCTGTTACACGGCACCAACGTTCGCCTTCTGGCGATTCTCTCCAGTGATTTCTGACTTCAAGTCCGACACTTTTTGGGTGTAAACGGCGAACTTTCGTATTTTCGGATCCTAAGTTGGGAACTTTCGTGAAAGTTGGCATGACCGTCGTACGTGGACGTGGACGAGGGACAGACGGTGAAATCCCAAAAATATTCAACATCAAACATCAACATCAACATCATTCGCAAAACAAGACACAGCACAACACAGCACAGCTCACAACGCAACGCAACGCAACACAACACAACACAACGCAACACAACTCAACACAACACAACACAACGCTATCTTGCCACTGCACTGCTTTCTACTTCTTACTGCTGCTAAAGTGGGCGGAGATTGGAGCAAAACATCCAGTTTTTCAGCAGCAGGAGGGTCTGGAACTTGTTGAAGTCTACTAGCAACTAGCAATCTTGCCTTGAGGAACAAATGCCAGTTCCAAGATATCGTCTCCTTTTGGTTAAGGGGCATCGGACATCACCTTGCTTGCCATTTACTTCATGTAGGCTCAAACTCGTTTCCCCATTCGAACATAGTTCTTCTTTGCTTAACCTGGATTTTCTTTCATTCATTGCAACATTGGGATCTATGCCTTCTAGTAGCTCATCTAGCCTTTTCAATGCTTCAAATTCAATAGCTTCAGCTGTGTCCATCACTTGTTGAAGAGTGGCGGTGGTACTCTTCAAGACCGCCTTCTGTTGTTGAATAATGACATAGTCTTCCAGATGAAGGCTGTGCTTGCAATCAGAAAGATACTTGAAATAGTACTTGACACCGCTTGAACTCTGCTTTTTGTCAACAGGTAACTGATTGTTTTGATGACGAAGGGTCACAATACAAGTTGCCAATGTCACTCCTGCATCTCCAAGTTTCTTATCTGAATGGTTCCCATCAGAGATAGATGTTGTGATCGATCTCATAGTTTGTGTGTGTAGTAGTGCAGAAAGGCGTGTGCATGATGATGGACAAGTAGATGCTGCCACAATATCCATGCTCACCTCTGAAAAATGTAGTCTCTTTGGCAAGAATTTTCTTGTCAGCAGTACCATGATCAGGTGTCTTCATACATGCTAGCTTCTTCTTAGTATTCAGATGCTCTCTGTGAGAGGCTGCTAGCTGTGTCTCAAGATGACCAAGTCCTTTTGACAGAACTGAGATTTCAGCCGTCTGCCATGCATTTTCCAACTAGTATGTTTACTGTTTGCTGTTATGTAGTCAGCAATTTCTTTGTCCTCATGGTATGGTAGCTAGTCCATGTTTCAGGATACAATGACATTGTTTTCTGGGCCATTTTTAATTGAAACCTAGTACTAGCTAGTACACTTGGTGGGCTCAAAACCGCCCAAAGCTTTGTGTACCATTCAGGAAACCAATCATCAGCCTTGTCAATAAAATGAGGATGATTCTTACACTGCAGCCAGCAATCCAAAAAGTGTTGGCCAAAATACTGCTTCAAGGAACTCTTGTCAATTGGGATAGTCTATTGCTTGGAGTTGTGCAAAGTGTCAGATGGATTTGCTCTACAGACCAGAATGGGTGCCTCAACGCCCTGTCTGTTTCAATGAGCAATCCCTGAGATCGAATCTACGCCGGCTATGGTCTGCCTTTGGGCACCAGCGACTCTGGGCCTCAGCCTCTGGAATAAGCAGTAGTCTTATTCAATCAAAGGTCTTACTTTATTATCTCTTATATTCGTTTGGACCTCAACGTCCACAATACTATTCTTGCCAGAACTCAATCGATAGTGAGACTCTCGATTGAAGTTCAAGATCATCTTACAAATTCTCACGATTCTCATTCTTGATCACCTTTCTACGTGATGACGCGTTCCAACATACTGCGTTTCATAATACGCATGATCGACACTCACGTCACTGCCGCGTAACGTCACATAGACCATTGATCAATAATCGACCAATATGATTGCTCAATATATCAATACCTCCAACACAAAGGAAACAGCAAAAACCTGTAACATAGCGTTGCAAGTTTTCATTTGCGATTTTGTCTTCACCAATGCTATCAGCAGGATCAAGTCCATTCATCTTCCTGTATCTATGTGAAGTTCAGCCATCTCGGTGTAGTATTCACCCCATACTTTGGCTTTGATGATTGCCCTAGTCTTGGACCCTTGGCAATGACGATTGATGTCATGGGCAAGAAGCTTGCTGATGAACTGCTGCAGCCTGGTCCAGAACAATGACGATGGTTCAGTTTGGCTCAGTCTTTTTGTGTTCTATATATTGTGATTGGCATATCACCTATGAATAGTTGTAGTAGTGCAGTTTACATTTATCATTTGTCCTTGGTAGTAGTGGTGGCCGGTCTGGCATCAACCGTCAATGCATCACATGAGGTTTCATGAAAGTTGGTTCTCCTTGGTAGAAAAGGTACGGGGCTTCGCCCGGAACCCCTTTCAACTTTCATGAAACTTCGCGCTTCGCGCGAAACTTGGCATTTTTTGACCTGAAACCAAACAATACATCAAAAACAACAAAAATCGTCCACACATCATCGCATCACAATGGCTGCTGTTATTCAATTTCGTAACTGGTGCGAAGTCAATCTCCTTATTCGACCCGTCCTCACGCAACACATGACCAATGTTGAAGGTCTTGACTCTGTTGACTCCTTCGCCAACAGGACCACTTCTCAAGTTCGTGAAGACATCAGATCTATGTGAAGAGCCCCTGATCCCAACAATGCAAATGCGACTATCGGAGTCACCACTCGCAAATCGATGACTACTATTCATCGTATCTCCAAATATGGGAAGCTCCTCATTTTGGTTCAGCGAACCCATACCCCAGCCCTTGGAACCATCCCAAATCTCCTTTTTATTGGTCAATTCTATGATGAAAACCCGGATCTCATGGAAGGGGACTCCAAGCCACTTCCTCCTCATCCTCCAAAGTTCAACAATCGCGATGGTCGAATCATGATGGAAAACATTGAAAGTTGGGCTCGTACCGCCTATGGATATCGTGGAATTCGCCTTGATTATATTTTCCGTGAAAATTCTGAACTTCCAGTTGCTGGTGACCCTGGGTTCCTCCGAGCCGACGACGGCTCTCGCTCCATCAAAGAAGAACTTGTCCGACGTGCTGCCCACACTGGTGCTGTGTTCCGTTGCAACAACCAGAAATTTTGGGTTATGCTCCATGCCGTCACACATGAAACTGATGCCTACAATCACGTTCGTCAATTTGCTCCAACTTTGGATGGCCAAGCTGCATACTTCGCTCTTTTTGCACAATATCGTGGAAGGGGACATTTCACCAATGAACGCCAAGCTGCTGTCCGTGTCCTCGCAACACTTCACTGGAACGGTAAAGCTTGAGGCTTCACTTGGCTGAGCATCACTGGAGCCGATGATTCAGTGACCTACATTATACATGCTAGAAATCATAACCTACCAGAAAGTCAAGGTTGTAAACTTCTTAGAAATATAGTCAAGGACAAGCAGAAACTTCTTTGTCCAACCAATCAAGTCAAGCTGAGATTGCTACATACTACTACACCAAAGTATATGTACAGCTACAAGATCCAGAAGGACAACAATGGCACCCTTCAACTTGACAAACTTCATAGCAGCACCAACTGGAAGCATGCCGCCAAAGTCAAGATGGATCTGCTTGCAACGTACAAGGTCCTTGTGGATATGAGGAGTGGAACCCCAATACCAAAAGATCACCAAAAGCTCCAAGTTCAACTTGTCAATGCCCTTAAACACTGTGACAAACACAAGCCCAGACTTCCTACATTACGGTGACTTTACCTATGTACGGCACTACCACTGCAAATAAAATTCTACTGTCTAATGACAAACCAATCCGTCATGGGTATGATCCATCATATGTTGAATGGAACCCCAATCGATTTCTTTTCTAAGGAGCAGTCAACTGTTGAGACTGCTACCTATGGTTCTGAGTTTGTAGCCACTCAAACCTGTGTCAAACAGATCATGGATCTTCAACAGACCTTAAGGTACCTTGGTGTGCCAACAATCAAAGGTCAAAGTTACATGTTCAGTGACAATGAATCTGTTGTGAACAGTTCTTCCCGACATAACGCTAAGCTACATAAACAACATGTCACGTTTTTGTTTCACCATGTGAAAGAAGCAGTAGCATCCAACATGCTATCTTTTATCCACATTGACAGTTCTCTCAACCCCGCTGATATTCTCAGCAAACATTGGGGTCATCAGCAAATCTGGCCAGTACTACTGACTCTAATGTTCTGGTCCGGAGACAATGCTGATCAAGAGGACTAGGTCCTCACTTTGCCCCATTTGGGGAGTGACAGAATTCTAATAGGAACAAGACTCGTGACACGACCTATAGGATTCCCAGGTTGAAGTGTAGCCAATGCGCTGCATGCATCACACGTCCACAAACAGCTACACGCCATTAATTTAGTGTAGAAAAGAACTGAGTCAGCAGTTCTCTAACAAATCATAGGATCTTGCGTGGAAAATTGCATGCTTTTTACCTGAATTGATATCCATCATCTTGTAGAAACTAGTCAACTATAGGCTTTTAGTCTATTTTCATTTATTTCTACCAAACAAGATTAGGAACAACGCAATTTCCTTTGATGTTCCGTTGTCATCAAGTATATTTTAATGAAACGGCAGGAGTGTGTTGGATATATTAGGATTTTTGAAGTATATATTTGGAGAAACAAGAAAAAGAGAATACATGTGAACAATAGAGAAAAAGATGTTGACTGATACGACTAAAGATGAGGACTGATACGACTAAAAATATTGCGCATGGCAAGTCAGAAAAAGGATCATATTTCTATGGAAATCATCCTATTGATGATGTAAACAAGCAAGACTCAAGGAAGATCCAAAGTTGGATACTAATCAAAGTACCGGCTACAGTGGAAGGTGAACAGATAAATATATTGAACTTGAAGCATATCAGGCTGACGAAGAGAGAATTCTGAGAATTTTCTCTGAGCTGGAAGGGAAAGAGTCAAAGTCAAAAGTTGACAGATTGTTCTCACTTTTTAAAATATATCACAAGCAACAAGTGAATTGGTTGATAAATATACTTCTATATACTAAAAATTCAAATACTTAGAAAGCAACTATACCTGGACAGCTAAATTGCAGTCAATTGAAGAGGTAGATTGCAGGCGGCAGTGGATTGCTTACTTCTAACAGTCTTCACCAGCCTTTTGCTAACTTTCCAAGCCAGATTATATCCCTGGAGTATTCAACCAAATGGCAGACAACCTCTCTTGTTTGTGGCACTTATCCAATTCTCAATATATATAACTCATGCACTAATCGTATTAAAACTATCCCAAGTTTCTAGATTGCCGTTAACGGCTGTCATGGCCATTTACCATATGGAGGTGAGTCCAGTACTGTTGAACCAGTTTGAGGCATCCAATCCCAGGGAAGTTGCTCTATCGCATATTACATTGCACCCTTGCACATGTAGAAACGATCTTGCCACTCGAGGTGGCGTATTTTTATTTTGTTTTTTGAGGTTTTTGGAGGTGGTGGTGGGCATGATTGTGTAGCTGGTGAGAAGCCAATTGTTCTTGCGCCCTACTGCCGTGGGTGTATCAATCCAAGTGAATGGAGAGCGTCCCAATGGCACAGTGTTCCAGAACAATGTGGCCACCATCTACTTGACAGACTGCAGTTCCCTAGTCCTGTGGTCGACAGAGGGAGAGTGAAACATAGAGGGGGCAGAGAGATGGCCGAGACATCTGGCTGTTTATGGACTTGCGCCGGTTGGCCAAGTCAATGTTGGGTTGGCGGGTCGCGCCAGGTCAAAGATCATCTGGCGTTGCCTGGCTAGAGAGCGACGGTTGATGGCTCAGACAAGGCGCAGCCAATGTTGACAAGTGATTTGTTGAGGACAGTTTTGCGGGAGTCACGAAAGAGGTACTGGGATCGTTGGGGGATATCCAATTCTCAACTCTTGCATTATTTTTTCATAAATACCCACGGCCACAGCCTTGGACACTCATGATGCTGCGACCAGAAATGCGTTCCTTGCTGATCTCAGCACTGCGAATGAAACGCAGCAATCTTTGGTCTGTACTTATGGTGCCTGCAAACCCTTGACATTGACCCTTACTTGGAAACCAAGCCCCAAATGGAACAGCCACCCAACCACAACCACCCCTTCCGACTTCAAGATGCATCCTTCACCCGCCATGACAACCCTTCTGTCAATGCTGTCACCATTCCGTTGGCCACCTTGCCTTCACAGACCCAAGTTTATTTAAATTTAACAACCCAGAAGAATGGGAAAAAAGATGAGGCCATCACCCAGGTTCCACCTATGACCACCTCCTTCTTTGCCAGTTGCCGCGGTTTGGCGTTGTGTTGTCCACTTACAACAACACAATGCTCTGCCCAACACTCCTCTGTATACTATTTTTCTTACCCATGGCCAAACTCAGCCTGTCCTTGCTGCTCAACTCACTGCAAAATTACGCCACAGCTGCGATCAGATTAGCTCTACACTGGAATGGCCGGGAAATAGAAATTTAGCACACAATTCTTGGGAGTAAATATTGATTTTCCCGGCCGTCCCTGGGCATTGATTGTAGTATATATATAACTGATGCATTAATCGTATTAAAACTATCTCAAGTTTCTAGATTGCCGTCAACGGCTGTCATGGCCATTTACCATGCGGAGGTGAGTCCAGTACTGTTGAACCAGGGATATGCCGCAATTTGTCGTCAATCTGAGCAAAAATGCATGACGGGCCGACTTGCTCACTCTTTCTGCAGGGGTATTCAGTGATTCTACATCTTCTTTGCTTGTGGAAATTAACTTTTGTTTAACATCTCAAGGTTTTGGTCGTATTTGTAGTCTACTCTTATGTAAATAAAATTTCCTAAGTGAAAATCAGCTGTAAAATTGTCGTTAATGACTGCAAGATATCCCGAAATTGTCGTAAACAAATTTACGACAGGTTTACGACAATGACTGGGTCATTAACAACATTTTGGAAAGGGTGGAGGGCTTGCGGGCCCCAATGCCAAGTGGGTAGGATCCCACAAAGAATTTGAAGCGGTTAATCCAACACGCATGCAATGCCGTCAACTCCGCCGATTTTGTTGTAGACTGTCGTAAATTACAACAAAAAATTGTCATGAAACTTTACGACAATTTTTTACGACAATTTTTTACGACAATTTCGGATATTCCGAATGTCCGAAATGCCTTGAAAAACGGCGATCACTGTTATACAGAAATCTTTTTGATTATACGTAAAAGGTTTCAAAAAGTACCTATGGTCATTAGATCCTCCGATTCCCGATTTTGTCGTAAATTACGACAAAAAATGTCGTAGCCTGTCGTAAATTACGACAAAAAATGTCGTAAAATCTTTAGCGACAATGACCAAGGGGAACAACAAAAGACCTCGCCTGCTGTTAAACAACGTTATTCCTTTTGCTCCTGACGATGGGGCGCATGCATTGCCGTCAACTCTGTGGATTTTGTCGTAAATGTCGTAATCTACGACAAAAATTGTCGTAAATTATGACAAAAATTGTCGTAGATTTCTTGTTGGGCATTTGAAAGAATTTACAACAATTTACAGATGTTCCGCTTTTGTCGTAAATTTTCTAGCCCCACGGGGGCGAACTTCAGCGAACATCAGTAGACACTTAAGGAAGCTTTGAACTCTTATATAATCGATTGTTACATTTGATTTGTAACAAGTAAAGGGCCCCAAGCATGGCTTGGGAAGAGATGGCATTTTGGAAGAGGTGGGGATGGCGGGACCAGGCTCGGACGGTGGGGACGCCCAAGGAAGGCTGACGGACGGTCTTCAGGTATTCGAAGAGGAAGGCTTCGATCTCTGGGGCAGTCTGCCAAGTCTGCATCCAGGTTTGGAGGGCCAGATGGCTTTTTGACCATTCTGCAGCTGCAGTAGGAGCAGAACAGCGTGGGACATGGAGGTGATCTTCCACGGGGCAGGAGGAGCATCTGGGGCAGGAGCTCTTCGCCGAACGGTTCCAAATGGCCAAGAATTTTCCCACACCTGTCATACCGGAGATATGTTTAGGTGTCCAGCGTTGGAGATTTGCTGGGAGGGCCTTCATGGCGCGTGCAAGAGATAACCAATCGACCTCACGGATGGACTGCTCGGAGAGGCGGTCCTTGGAGGACCAATATGCTCAAAGGGCAGGAAGAGAGACCAGCTCCATGATGTGAGCCTGATCTAGTTTGGAAGACTTAACACCGTCAATGAATAAAGACACAGGTTCATGGAAGAAGCGGGGGTTGGAGGCGGCAGAACGGCCTGTAGTCTTCAGCAGGCGGCGGTAGGACTGTGCTTTGGAGTCCACTTCCACATTGCGCTGCTCCCACCAGTCCAGTTGGCAGAAAGGCCGGTGCTTGTCCAGGTGGCCTTTAACATGGCGCCGATGAACTTGGAGGGGAAGGTGGCGAAGCAAGGCCCGGATGGTTGAGGCCAGATCAAATTGGGCACCAGACAATGACAAGTGGAATTCGGAGAAGGACTTATCAAGAGCTATGAGCCCGTCGCAGGCCATCTCAACCGACGATTGGCTGGCAAAGGGTTTCAGGTGGGCGACCTGAGACATCCAGTCCAACACCAGGAGAGAGGCCATAAGGCCAATCAATTCGCTGCGCGTGGAACTCTGGTCGTCAAATTTGCCAGGGGTTTGGCAGGTGATCCAGATGATATCCCTGCGGTCCTCAGTGAGAATTTGAGCGCAGGCTGTGCCCACTTTAGCTTTGTAAGAGCTGTCGCTCACAGCACGAAGGGTACCGGCGCGAAGGGCCTGAACCAGGCGGTCCTCACTACCTTCAATGGTAATGACCTCTGGAACCCAGCCGTGAGAACCTGATTCAGCCAGACTGCCGAAGTGATACCAGAGGTCAAGGATGGAAGATGGGGTGGCAGGTGGTTTGGCTGGTTGGTGAGGGCCCGTAGAGTGGAGGAGGACCCGGCTCTTGTGGATCGGAGACCGGCTAGGGAAGACAGAGACCGAGGGGCGGACAGCGTCCACTGGTAGAGGTGGGAGATCAGGTTTGAAGCGGCGAGGCAAGTAGAAGGTGCGCTGACGACTGGTGGAGGCGAGAGGGACGGAAGGGATCCATAGTTGACCCTCACGGTGGAACAGGGTATTGGTAGAGGGGGAGTATTGCCACTTCCAGGACAAGTCAATGGAATGCCACGGGCCTAATGGAGAACTGAGACGGCGTCGGTTGGAGTGGCCGGTCAGGTGAGAAGAAATCCATTGCTGCGATGCAGTCCACCATTGGTTAGACGGACGAGCAGTGCAGGGCCATTGGTACTGATCAGAACAGCTGTCCGCTCTTAGCCCTTTCCATGCATGCATCGTAATTGCTGTCCCTTCAGCATTCACAATATCAGAAAGAGTGACTGCGTGCAGGAAGATCTGACACCAGTTGAGCCATTTCAAAGTAAGTTGGTCCACCAAAGAATCAATGAACAAGTCGGCTAACAGTTGATCTCCTTGGCAAAGTGGCTGAAGAGAGGGGGAATCAAACTCCAGGTGGATGGAGAGAGAGTCGAGTTCACTCCAGGTCCGCTTTGCCCACGTGTCAGACGCCAGGATGGAGGTGTTGGCATAGACTTGTTGGAAGAGGCCGTATGAGGTACCGGTTTCAAGCTGATGTGCCTGAAGGACTGTCTCCAAGAAGGCGCCCGTCTTGGTCTTATTGGCAGGATGGCGAAGTAGCATGTCCAAGTGCTTGATGACTTGGAGACCGTACAGATGAGGGGCACCCACTCCTTGGAGTGCAATAGGGGCATAGACCATAGCACAAGGAAAGTTGCGGCAGATACCAGCCTTTGGAAGTGCCGCCCTGAGCACTGGGGATAGGAGCTGGTCCCACTCCTGTTGAGAGAAGAAGGTGAGCGCCATGGGGTACTCCAAAGTCTTCTGGATTGTGGTGCGAAGGAGAGGGAGGACATCGTATTGGTGGAGGAAGCTAGGTTGGATCTGATCCGCCCATGCTTTTGCTTTCCCCTGCATCACCACAAGTTGTGCTTTCCTGTTGGAGCAGGGGGACATCAGGATACCCAAAGTCTTCTCCGATTCGTCCAGTTCCAACCACTGTAGATGCACTGGAGTGCCATCCAGATCATCCAGTTCAACCGCAATTTCCGACGTTCCTGTGGGAAGAAGAGATGGTTTGAAATCCCCCTTCCGCCGGAATTTCCATACACCTTGTTGGGCATTCCACTTGAAGTCAATCAGATACCAAAAGGATTTATCTGGTCGGATGGCGCCACCAGTCAGGCGGACGCCGTTGGACCACCATTTCAGTGCTTTGGCCACCTCTGGGACGATAGATTCCCCAGACTGGTCAGGAGACGGTGCCGCTTGGCAGACATCAGTGTCATCGACAAAACAAAAGCAATCGGCCAAGAGCGGAGCCCAAGAGATTGACATCAGAAAGTCAAAGCCAAAGCCTTTGCAAATCATCATCCCCAAGAGAATGGAGCTAATTGCAACCCAGATAGGAGGTCCTGCCCCATTGCCTTGTCCACATCCTTGAAATGGAATCAGGGTCGGAGGAGTAAAGACACGGTCTGAATCGCCAAACCCCGTATGCACCCGGTGCTTAGACTTCATCAGTGTATCAAACATGGAGCGAAGGGTACGCCATTGAATCCCAAAGCGCATGAGGCTAATGATTGCCACCCAGTGGACAATCCGGTCAAAGCAGGACTTGGCATTGTTGGAGATCCACTCGACAGGGCGGCGTTGAAGATGCAAGAGGTCCCAAGTGAGACGCTTCGTAAGGGCCAGATTGATGGCCTGGTGACGCTTGCGAGACCCATGTTGTCCCTTTGGGATCAAGTTGTGCTGCTCTGCATAGGCCATGGCCGATTTCCCCACTTTCTTGTTGTTGGCCTGCAGCTCCGAATTCATCATTTGAATCATGCGCATGAGGTCCACCCGAATCTCGCCTGGTTTCTTCTCAATTGCAAAGTTGAGCAAGTGGCACCAATGGGCTGGGACAAATCCTGTAGCAAAAGGGAAGGAGCGAAAGATTGTGTCGCAGCAGGCAAGCAAGTTGGATGCTACTCCCGCTTTGAAATGGCCATTATGCAAGCCGTGTGGCTCCGAACCTTTGTGTTCCCCCATCTTACGCCAGAAGCTAACATGGCCCTCCAGATCCACTTCCAGTGGTTGGTCTTCCAAGCCCTCCGGCCGTCGGCAATGGTCCAGGAAGGACACCAGGTAAGGATCCGCTGTCTCGCCTTCATAGAGACCCCGGAGCAGTGCTTGGCTGTTACTTTCGGCATTGGGGCCATTGAAGTCGGAGTACAAAGGTTCAGTCATGGGTGGAGTGGAGTAGGGGTAGCGGGTCTGGTCATACCGGAGCCGGTTCTCTTGCATGCAGCCTTCTTCCACAAGACGTTTAGACTGGCATGTTACCCAATGGGAGGTACCATCCTGTGCCACCTGGGCCACTTTGATCTGCTGGAGGCCGCCAGAGAAGCCTTTGCCTTGA